TAAAAAACTTGTAGACTATAGAAAAATCATATAAGATTTATATAAACTTTTTATTTTAATTGAATCATTTAAATAATACCACGAGCCAATATTGAAATGGAACATTTAACGAAAATTTAAATGAAAATTATTTGTAATTCATCAAGCAAAAAAATTAACTCAATTATCGGCACAGTGAGGTATAATAGTAGAATTACATTTAGACACACCAAACACAGAAATTTTTTAAATTTTACAAAAATTCTAAATAATAGCACAAGATAAATACTAAAAGATTTTTAGAACTAAAACGAGTTTTTAAGAATTGATATGACTTTGTAACAGCCATATCAAATAATCGAGAAAGACACGACATTGATCTTTATTAATAGAATTTTTATTAAAATATTTTTTTAGTAAAATTGAGTTAAATTTTATGATTAAATAAAAATTTATTGATCAACTTATGATGAAATAAACTAAATAAAAATTGTTATGAATTTTATAACTTACTTAATCAGAAAATCCCTATGAAAATGCGATTTTAAAAATAAAGATGAAATAAAAATTTAGAATAATTTAAAAATTTGGAGAAAATAGAAAGATTATAAAAAATTTTTTAAGTCTCTACCAACATTACTATTTTTCAGATTGAACCAACAAATTTTCAGATACTAAAACAATTTTTGTATTTTTATGTACTTATTTAAATTGATTAAATGAAATTTAATTAAAATATATAATAATATAAAATGAAAATTTAGAAAGGTTAAAAAATATATAAATTTAATTAACATTTGTAAAAATAATTTAAAGGTACAAAGTTCCAATGTTTGTACTTTAAATGAAAAACAAAGACATTAAATATGATTAATTACTTAGTTATTTTCTTTTGGAAGGAAAAATTATTGAAAATAATTCTTATAAAATTAGTAGACGATAGAAAAATTATATAAAATTTATATAAACTTATTATTTTAATTGAATTAATAAATTTTTAAATACTGACCTACGGGTCCCGTCCATTTTGATATCTGGAGCGCCGACAACGACTTCGTAGCAAAACAACAACAAAAATATCAAACAACAAAACGGGAACCTATTAATTGGAACCCGACAACAAATTTGGAAGAAAGTGGGGACATAATCAAATGATTAGCAAGAACAATAAAAGAAGTTAACTTTAAAAAACCAAAATAAAAATCCAAGCTCTATTGAGCCAGGAAAAATTATTAAAAAAATTTTGTGTAAAATAAAATTAAAATAAATAATATAAATAAATAATAAAAATGTCTGAAAAGTGATTGATTTTATTATTCAAGTTTAAGTATAAAGATTAAGTATAAATTCAAAAATAAGTTCAAATAAACTCGAAAAAAATATACAGATTGATTTATAATTATTTTAAAAAGAATCGAAAATGTTTTTATAATGTAACCAAAATAAAAAGTGAAAATTTAGGCGGATTTAAATAGTAATGAGAAAAATTCTAATGATCATAAAATAATTAAATCTTAATTAAACAAAATTTATCAATAGTTTAAAATTGTTTGTAGAAAATTTTATATTCTTCTTTGATACATGAATTATCGACACAAATTTTTTTTAAAAAGTCCTTCGGTAGAAATAATTTATAGAATACTACCAAACATTAAAAATAATTTAAACTTGTATTTAAGAAGAAATATAAATTAAATTATGTTTCAATGTCCGAAGCAAAAAATACACTATATACCAGGGTTGCCGCGGGTACAAAAAATCTTCGGGTACGGGTTTCGGGTATCGGGTTGGAGCGTTTTCATTTCGGGTATCGGGTTTCGGGTTGGCAAAAATATCGGGTACGGGTTTCGGGTTTGGCGATTTTTTTTTCTTCCATTTTTTGCGCCGCAGGCTAAAATTTTGAGAATTTTGATGATCATTAAGCGAGATTTCTAGCTTTTTCACCGCGGAGACGAAAATTTTGAGAATTTTGTAGGGTCTTAGGAGAAAGAATTCAATTGGCAGTAACGCAGGCAAAAAATTTTATTGAAGTTTAGTTGGTTAGGTAGACAAAACTCTTAATTTTATGCGCCGCAGGCGAAAATTTTGCAAAATTCATAACTAAATTGAAATTTTTAATGATTTTTCTAGCTTAAAATATTAAAAAAAATAAATTTAAAAATCTAATATGAAAATCAAAGTGTTGGATCCTTGATTTGTTATTTTAAAATGATTTATATTTTTTAAATTAAATATACTCCTATGTTTAATTTTAATTGACATTTATTCAAATAATTTCCATACTTTCCAAATTTCCCCAACTCAAATATTAAACTTTCTTTCTCATTAAAAATAATCTTTTCTTTGTGTATTTAAAAATAATCTTTCCTTTCCCTTTCATCAACTTAAACATTTCCTTCTGGCTTATATTTAAATTAAAAGTAACTTTGTTTAATAATGTATTTTATTACTTTCCCTTCTTTATCTATCTAAAATATACTCTTTCTACAAAATCGCCGCCCTTCTTAATTGACTATATAAACACCCCTCACATTTACTCAATTACCTTAATTATCTTATACTTTTATTTTAAATAAATAAACTTGATTTAAAAGACTTGTATTTAATTTGAATAAATTAACCTGAAAGTTCAGAGAAAAACTTAAACTAAAACCGGGTCAAACTAAGTAAAAGGGTCAAATCCTTTACTGTTGCCAAGACCTTCGGGAAAGAGATTTGGTTTCTAATTGGCCACTAGATAACCATTTCTCTTGCCCAAACAATACGTTTGGAGTTTTTGTTGGTTATAAAATTAATTCTAATTTGTAAAATTTTTTATCTGCTTACTGCAGATTTTTGTTAACTGAAAAAAGAAGAAAGGTTCGAGCTGTGTGCGAACCGAACCAGTGCACTATAAAAATCAAAATTGCCTGAGCTTAGTGCGGGCTTTAAATTGGAAATAAATATTGCCTGGGCTTAGTGCGGGCTTAGAAATCGAAGATATATATATTGAGCCTTGAGCTGTGTGCGAGGCAAAGTTAAAGAAATTAATTGAAAGCCTTGAGCTGTGTGCGAGGTCGACTTAAAAAAAATTTTATTGGAAGCCTTGAGTTGTTTGCGAGGCCAATTTTAATAAAAAAAAAGAGAGAATTTTTGATTCCTTGAGCTGTGTGCGAGGATTTGAGTATTTGAGAATTTGAAACTGTCTCTTGAGCTGTGTGCAAGGAGATCTGAAAAAAATCTTTTATTTAAATTTATATACCCCTTTTTATTTTTTTTCATTTAAATTAATCAGCTTTTATTTAAAATTTAATTTAAACATCCTTTTTATTTAATTTATCCATTTAATTTAATTTAAAATGTCTGGATCGGACTTTGATGATGTTTATTTTTCTGCGACTGAGAGAACAAACTTCCAGTCGTTACTTAATCGACTGAGATCTTTTGAGAAAACTGTCGCTCGATCTTTTCGTCAATTTGAAGAAAGATTAAATGTTGTAGAAGAAAGTGTAAAAACTAACAAAAATGGACTTACAGGAACAAAAGGATCGGTTACTAAGCTCCGAAATTCTTTAAAAACTATGGAAAATTTTGTTAAGGAAAAATTAAACCAAAATATAAATTTTGAGGATAATCAATCGGAAGATGAACCTGAACTCGATCTAGAATTGAAAGTTGGGGATCCTTTCCTTAATAATGGGAGTTTTATCCCTCATTACGATGGAAATCCGTCCATTTCATTCTCGAAATGGATAGAAAAATTCAAAGACATTTTAACGCTGCTGACTACCCCATTGACGGAGGCACAAAAATTAGCTCGTTTAAGATTCTGTTTGGATGGGCAAGCAAGGACTTTATATGATTCGATAGATCCCGCTCCAAATACGTTGGAAGAAGCAATTCAATTTTTGAAAACTCGCTTTGAAAATGGGAATACAAAAATTATAGCAAGGCAGACCCTGTCTATCTGCAAGCAAGCGCCAGGTGAGCCTGTATTTGATTTTTCGAATCGACTGAATGAGGCAGTTAGAGCTGCTTTAAGTGGAGAAAATGAAGAAATTATTAAGAAAAGACTTTTGGAGGAATTCCTGGACCGTATAACGCCAGAGCTACAATTTCAGGTTAAAGCACAAAGGCTTACGGAGTATGTTTCTGCTTATGAATTGGCTCTGCATTTTGAGCTGTTGCTGGCTGATAGAAAACGTGTGAATATTTCAAGTGCGGATCTCGCCGAAAAAGTAGATGCTTTAACAATTGATAAAAATAAACCCGAAGTTATTACTTGTTATTGTTGTAGGCGTCCAGGTCATATAGCACGTAACTGTCCTGAGAATCAAGGGAACTTTAATAGGAATTATAGAAGAAACAATAATTACAATCCGCAAAATAACTACAACGCGAGAAATTATGATAATAGACAGAGATATTATCAGAACAGATCCAATTACAATCCCAATTACAATGGAGGTCATAGAAATCATTACAGTAACTCGAATTACCGCCAGAACAATTTTGAGCAATATGAAGGTCAAAGACATAATAATTACAGAAATTATAATAATAACAATCAATATACCTCGAATTCGAGAGATAGTAGTAGATCTTCTGGCAGTAGACGTGGAAAATTTGAACGTCGATCGAGTCCGTCTATTAGAGTTATTAGTCCACTTCTCTTTGCTATACTTGCCTTATTATCAGTTTTTAGCGGAACATTAGCTCATAATCCAATGAGTTGCTTAAATGAGGCTCCAAAATCTGTATGGAAGTTTCCAGATCCAAATTATCCGAACTGGCAGCCAACAGCAGAATTAACATACGAAATTATAAAACTTACGAGTAAAAGTAAGCAGAATCCCAGTTCAAGAACAGAAGCATTTGATAGCAACATTGTTGCAAAATGCCTTTTTGCTTTTCTTATTGGAGGTATTTTGGCCCAACTAATTTGCTGTCTAAATATTGGCGAAAGAATTTACCAATACATCTTTAATAGGAGAAGAGCCAAAAAGATTGAAAAATTAAAATTAAATAACTTTAAACTAAAAATGACAAAGAAAGATAAATTAGTGCCGATTGGAGAAAGATGGCCCTCTCAAAACTTTGGAGAAGAAAATCCTAAAAATAATGTAGTTGAAGTAATGACAGCTGGCCATCAATGCGATGAAAATATGCGTGTACTTGTAGAAATTAATGGGCAAAAATTAGTTTGTCTTTTGGATACAGGAGCTCATATGTCTCTAGTTGGTAATAAAACAGCTAAAAGATTAGGGATTACAGACTTATATCAACCAGATTACAGCGGAGTTATAGGAATTGGAAATAAAGTTATACCCGCTATTGGTCAATCTGAGATAATATTAAAAATAGCAAATATTCAAATTAAAACAAAATTAACAGTGGTTAATGATGTGTTGAGTAATAATGGAACATATAGTGTGATAATCGGAAGAGAATCTCTCAAGCAGATGTCCCTCTTACTTGATTTAATGACGGGAGAATTAATAAATAGTGATAAATTAAAAAACAATATGCAAAAATTAATAAATTGCTCACTTCCTCTGAAAGAGCAATCCGGAGAGAATCTATATAGAATTGAAGATAAATATGGTTCAGAACGTATTTCACGTAGGGACCAAATGACGATCCGCAGAGGCGGTCTCCGAAATAAACCAACCTTTTAGGTTGAGAAAAATTATCTTTTTAAAATCTTATTATGTATATATCTCCCCACTATATTCTAATATTTTTATTCTCATTTATCCCAATTTTGCATTAATTTAGCTGTTCACTGCTTTTTCATTTAACTATTTTTATATTTGTTTTTATTTAAAAAATGTAACTTCATCATTTAAAATGACTACAATGGAAATTCATCAAATTTTTGGAAACAACACTACTATTGGAGAGGGAGGAGATGGATGAAAAAAAAACAACAACTAATTCCACTAACAACAAAAGAAAAACAATAACCTTTTGAAGTAATTCAAAAGAGGAGGAAATTAAAGAAATTGTTAAAAATTAACCCTCGTTGCGAGGAGATAGAAAATAAACTTGAAAAAAATTTTTTAGAGCTCTTTCCACCAATAATGAGGGTGAGGCTGAATCTGAAGTCAATGTTACATCTTGCGTCAGTTAGATCGCGAGAGGTTTTAATGATCGATATAGCCCATTCCGTGGGATGGAGGTGGAAACCGCCGTCAACAAAAATTCTACCGTGGTTGCTTATTTGAAGGAGGGAGGAGTGTTGGATCCTTGATTTGTTATTTTAAAATGATTTATATTTTTTAAATTAAATATACTCCTATGTTTAATTTTGATTGACATTTATTCAAATAATTTCCATACTTTCCAAATTTCCCCAACTCAAATATTAAACTTTCTTTCTCATTAAAAATAATCTTTTCTTTGTGTATTTAAAAATAATCTTTCCTTTCCCTTTCATCAACTTAAACATTTCCTTCTGGCTTATATTTAAATTAAAAGTAACTTTGTTTAATAATGTATTTTATTACTTTCCCTTCTTTATCTATCTAAAATATACTCTTTCTACAAAATCGCCGCCCTTCTTAATTGACTATATAAACACCCCTCACATTTACTCAATTACCTTAATTATCTTATACTTTTATTTTAAATAAATAAACTTGATTTAAAAGACTTGTATTTAATTTGAATAAATTAACCTGAAAGTTCAGAGAAAAACTTAAACTAAAACCGGGTCAAACTAAGTAAAAGGGTCAAATCCTTTACAAAGTCTAAAAACATTTATTTTTGAAAAGAAAAATTTTTTTATCCTCTTTTCCGGCCTGGACTTGAACCCACCCCTATAAAATGTCAAGCCAGTCGCCTTAACATTCATCCACCGATTAACATTGTAGAAAATGGAAGAAATTATAAATATTCCTTTTTCTTTTCCTTGTTTCTCTTTCTATAACTTTTTAAGAGAAAATCGGGTAAGGCTAAGTTTTCGGGTAGAAATTTTGGGTTTTAACCAATTTCGGGTCACGGGTTTCGGGTTGGAAAAAATATCGGGTACGGGTTTCGGGTTAGAAAATTTTCTTTTCGGGTATCGGGTTTCGGGTACAAAAAAAGGCCGGGTTTCGGGTTTCGGGTATCGGGTTTCGGGTTTCGGGCGGCAACCCTGCTATATACATACTAGACGTGTGTTAGCTAAAAGCTGCTATTATTTACTCCAAAAAATTATTCATCAAACTAAATAAAAATGTTGAGTAAAATGTCGAAAATTTTATTATTTATTTTATTTTATCAAATTGAATCGAAATCTAAAATTAAAAATAGCGGTCTTGTTACTACAATGGTAGTTGGCGGTGTCATTATGATTGGTACCGTTGTAGTAGGATCTGCCATTGAAATAGTATATCAACAGAAATTGAAGAATGTCTCACTGATATAATTACTCATTATTTTATAGCTTTAATTAAATAACTATATGCATTAAAAAAACACTTGTCGCCCTCGACTAGAACTTTATATAAAATAAAACTTTTCTTATCATGTTCACATTCATAGTGAAATACCTATAAAAAATTTTGAAATACATAAGTACTTTTGAAATTATAAAATTATTTGTTTGTTATATCACAAAATAAAGATATATATTAAATCACTAATTATTTATATAATATTAAATCACAAAATATTTTATAGATAACGAGAATGTGCTAATACTAAAAATTGAATATTTCTGGAAGAGGAAATGAATCTAATAATAGGACGATCCCTTTTAGAATATAAACAGGTATAAAATAAAAATCTAAAAAAATTTTTTTGATATCTTCAACTACCAAGTTTGAGATTAATTTTAAATTAAAAAATCCTTATTCAAAAAGAAGAATTTTTTAAAAAAGAGAAAGAATTGAAATTTATTCTGAAAGAAGAATCTTTAAAACAATAATTTTGAAAATAATTGTAGAGTTTTTTGCTTATACACTATAGAAGTGTGTATACTAAACAATATTGAACAATAGAAAAAAAGATGGATTTATATTTGGAAATTTTATTGCATGAAGATAATGTATATATAATAGATTAGATATAATTTAGTATGTATATAATAATAATACAAATAATATAATAATAATAATGTAATAATAATGATATTTTACATAATATATTAGAATGAAACATAATGTACATATACTAGATTAAAAGTTATCTGAATAAATCAATTTAATAAATTTTTTCATCTTCGATGGACAATGTCGATCAGATTAAAGGTAGGATTCATATCATAATAAATAAAACAGTACCAAAATGATTTATATGTGATATATGTTATATGTGTTTATATGTTTGTGATATATGTTTATATGTTGCATTAATCTAAAATTATTAAGTCAAAGAATAATAAAATAATTATAAAGACATCGCCTATTTAGAATGTCAGTATGTTGAAAGCTCCTACAATGAATTTTATTGTTATTGTAAAAATGAAATACCTAAATTTTATAAAATATTATTCATAAGTATCTATTAAAAAATAAAAATTTCTGAGTAGGAAGTATTATAGAAGAAGCAAAAGAAACATATCTTCAAAAATAAAGTTAAAAAATTAAATATGTAAATACTTCTAATTATAACATAAAAACACAAAAAATTTCAACATTCTTTTCCTTCATAAACAAAGTAATTAAATTGTTAACTTTTATTTGAGAGTAAAAAAGTATAATTAAACGCAGAAAAAACTAAAAAAGATTTCCAGACTAAAAATATTTTAAATTAAAATAAATCCTTTTGACTATCTCTTTATAAATAAATAAATTTTTGCATTTTGTTCATTTATGTATATAATAAAATATAAAAGATTTAATAAATAAATATTTTTTCTTCAAAAAGAAATTTTAATTATTTAAGTTGAGCTTTTATTTTTGAAGAAGAGGAAATTTGGTATCCGAACAATGTGAATTGTTCTTAATGATCAAAAATAAATATATTAATATATTATTGTTCAACAAATTATAGGTTTATTATTGATTAAAATTTAAATAATAATAATACATAAATGTATAATAAAAAGATATAACTTTGGTTCATTGCTAACAATAAAATTATTTTTTAAAATTAAAAAGCTTTAATATTTACTTCGTATGAAAACATTCTCTGAGGTTTATATTTTTAAAAATGGTTAAAAATTTTAATTGTTAACTAAATTAAGTAAATTGTTAACAATTTAACATAGTTGTGAAATTGTAAAATATTTTAATTAAATTTTTTCAAAGTTTATTGCTTAAAAAACGTTTAACTACATATACATATGTATTTTAAATTCTACTTAAATAAAGTTTGCATAATATACCATATTTAGATTAATTGTAAATTGTAATTCGTTAATATCTATGAAATGAATTTAACAGAAATACTAAGTATTATTAAACTTTTATATTTGTAAAATGATGTATGTAAATATGTAATTATAGTGTATTGAGAGACTACAAATTTTTAACAACGATGATTCAAACATATCAAACTGAATTGATAACAATATAATATTATTCAGAATTATCAGAAATATTTAAAAATTATATTAAATTAAATGATTGAAGGAAATATTAAATTCAAAAATTAAAGTTTTTCAAATAAGTCAAAATATTAAAAAATGGAATTAAAGTTGCAAATAATATGAAATAATATGATATCGATAAAATTGTATTTTATAGAAATAATTCCCAAGTTTAGTGGTAAAAACACAGTGTTCAAGACAAAGTTGAAAAAATAAAATGATTAAATTTTAATTTAATTTTTAATTACAGCAGTTAAAAAATTTCAAATATTTTGTTAACACAAGCATATATTAAAATATTTCGGAATGATAATTGTTCATGAATCACTCCCTATTATTTGTTATTTAATTTTAATAAAAAGGAAGGATAAATTAAATGCTATGTATTTAAAAATAAACTTAAAATCAACAATACTATGCATATTTAAATCATATTTTTGTTAAATTTGTTATTTATTATTTTAAAAATCTTTGTATTAATTATAAAAAGTTAAATAATTCGAAAGCAAAAAATATTAATATAAGAAGAGATTTAAATAAATCTTTAAGAAGAGATTTAAATGAAGGTATTAAAATTTAAATGTTCTAAAATATAATTTAAAGTCACTCACTCTGTTGAAGATTTTTGGAGGGTCATGGATGAGGCCGAAGCTGAGAGAGCTTTAAATAGGGAGCCCTCGTCAGATGTTCTGATGAGGAAGCATTATTTAGTGTCTAGACGCGATGTAAACTGGGAGTTAAATGGAACAATGGAAGAACGAAATAAATTTTAAATAAAAATCTTATTTGATGAGAATAACTAAATTAATAAACTAAATTAAGAAAATAAAATATCAACAAATAAAGTAATTAACAGCAAATTGTTCAAATGGTATAAAAAAATTAAATTGGAAAT